TTCCAAAAAAAAACAACAAAAAAACCTCAAGTTTTGGGGACAATTGTCCAAATAGCTGCAGATTTGGGTGCATATGACACTTCTCGTTTAAGGCAGAATGGTGGCTGATCAGAAATGTTTTAATTTCCTGATTGATCACGGAAACCGCTTCCCCATTAGCATCCTAGTATAATGTAAAAGAAGAGTGAAAAAGAAAATCATTATAAATATCTTCAAGAAGAGGGTTTTTTTATCGGATCTCAAATACTCTGAGGCACTATGAAGTTCTGCCTTATACTGTATATTAAACAAAAGTCAGCAAAAGCAGAAAGTTGTAATAGTTTGGTTGGGTGGTGACTTTGCCTACATTCAAAAGGAGGAGAGGAAAAGTTGTAAACCTGGCTGCCTGGTGCTTAAGTCCTTCGCTCCTATTGCTCTGAGCCGATTTCATAAATCTGTCCTGCCTCAAAGCACCCAGAAGTAAAACGATAGGATTTAAAAAGATCTACGAGTTTGCTTGGAGAAAGAATGGATTTCTCCCAGCCACCTGTGCAAAGAAGTCATGTGACTTAATTGAGCACCTTTGTATTTTTAATATTTTTAAACGAGGATATCTCTTAGGCCCAAAAATATATATATTTTTTTTACAAGAAACAGTGGTGCAATTCCTAAGCTTTCTCCATCCTAATTAAGGTAGTGAACCAGCCCACTTCCTTAAGAGTGTATAGCCCAGGGGTAGTCAACCTTGGCTCTTTTATGACTCGTGGACTTCAACTCCCAGAATTCCTGAGCCAGCTAAGCTGGCTCAGGAATTCTGGGAATTGAAGTCCACGAGTCATAAAAGAGCCAAGGTTGACTACCCCTGGACTATAGCCGAAAGGAAAGACGTGCAAGGATGCTGAACAAGCGATTCTGAAGACCGGTCCCCCAAATCCTGGGTGTTGCCTGCACCCACAGATATGTGAACACGGTTTCCGAGGCAGCAGGAGGTTGCAAATTGCTCCCACTCCTATCTCTGACTCCCGCCTCTTCCCGCTTAATGAACTGCGCAGTCCTGGGGTTACGACGGCAACCAGGACTCCTGGGGTTGCTGTTGCTAAGCGATGCGGTCACAATGTTGTGTGGTTATTATGTCTTACATTTGTTTGCTGCGCACTGTGAGAAAAAAAATACAACCACATATCTAAAACAAGAGTAAAACACTCTTCAAATACGAATGTGACGGAGCGTTTTTCAGCCGCATTGCTTAGCCATGGAATTCCTGGTCCCAAAGGGCCGTCGTAACTTGAGGACTAGCTTTAGAGCAAATGAGATGGTCGGCATGAAAGAAATCGCTGAAAAAAGAGAGCTGGATTACTGCCAAAACAGATGACAACGCCCCCAAATCCCTGCGATCCTCAGGAAGAAAGGGCTGGGGGGGTCACTTTGAAGATGGGTGGACTTCAACTCCCAGAATTCCCCAGCATGCATACATGCATGCATGCTGGCTGGCTGGCTGGCTGGCTGGCTGGCTGGGGAATTCTGGGAGTAGAAGTCCACCCATCTTCAAGAGGAACCCAGGCTAGAAAATATTGGGACTTAAAGCCCCCCCATCCTTCACATGATATACCGGCATGGATGCTGGCTGGGGAATTCTGGGAGTGAAGCCACACACACACACACACACACCTACCTATATTTAAAAGAGCATGCATTGGGGAATTCTGGGAGTGAAGACACACACACACACACACACACACACAACCTACCTTTAAAGGCTCATGCATGCTGGGGAATTCTGGGAGCGAAGCCACACACACACACACACACACAC